AACATTGTCCAGGGAAGAAAACTGGGAATGATGGAGAAAGTATCTATCTCCCTATCACTTCTGAGAAATCCTAGAAGTAATTGTACTTGTGGCTTTTTCATTTGGGAGAAAAAATAAATTGACCTCAAGATGTGCTGTGCTAATTGGTCATTAGTAAAGGGATTTTTTGGTTCATTTGGCAGTTTTTAATATAGTGCTTTTGTGATAGTCAAATTCCTGTGTTTAGAAAGTCTTGTTTACAAAAATGCTTTGGAATTTTATATTTGATACACAGTTTGTTCTCATCAGTCTTTTGTGTACATGTATTTAACCAACCTGAAACACTGTAAACTACTTAAATTCAGTATTTGCAATATTTATCTTTCTAATTATATTTGAATGAGGTTTTCATGCAGCAGTAGATGGCCTAAGTATTACTGCACACAACACATGGTCCTTATTGTTTTAAATGTATGTGCACAACTTGAAAATGTTGGTGATTGCATGTTTTTTAATAAACCGAAGTAGAAATAATAATAACACAAACTATATATATATATCTGTATACATAGCCCATGTATATTCTGGAATGACCGAAATGTATGTTTTAACCAAAGGAAGCACTTAGCCTTCCAAAGAACATATAAGAGATAATCAGAAATTGTTTCTATCCTATCAACTTTTTGTTACATACATGTTGCTTTCCATTGTTTGTTGTTGAAACTTCAAATCAAAAAATACTAAACCTTATACAATTCTGTGTATTTTCTAAGCACTCTTTTAGATGTGCACTAAGAGTAAAAAAAAAAAAAACAGATCTAAGTATATACTGAATTGGGTTTCTAGTAGTTTTTTATTTTTTTATTTATTACGTTTGCTTTTATAACAGTGTCATAGCAGTTTATTTTTTCTAAGATTATTTGAACATGAGAGAGACACAGGTAGAAACAGTTTGAGAGAGAGAGACAGAGACAGATTCCACATGCTGGCTCACTCCCGAAATGGTTGCAGCAGCCAATGTTGGGCCAGGTAGAAGGCAGGAAACAAACTCCATCTTGGTCTCTCCTGCAGGTGGCAGGAGCTCAAGCACTTGGGCCATCTTAACAAAATCAACCAACCATATCCCCAACTTTCACACCTTGCTTTTTGTTTATTGCTTGTACTAAGCCTCTTCTCAAAAATGAATTTCAAATGAGTGTGAATGAAAAGAATTCACCACTGATGACATTGGAAAGTAGCATGACATAAGTTATATGTAAATAATAAAACTGAGAACATCTACTAAGGGAGTAACAAATTTGGTCAGGTCCTTGAACTAGCAAATTATTTAGAAGTAGTAGTAGCATTCACAGAGGTATAACAAAACCCTAATTTGTGAAATCTAAGCATTTTGAATGTTAAATTTCAATGCTGCCCTTTTCTCTTGTCATAAGAAAAAAGGTTATTTGACATTAGAGAATAAACATCCCTGACATTTGTATATATCTAATACTGGTTTAGACATTGAATTACCATGCCAAGTTTTTAAAATCAGGTGTTAAAAATGCATCACCTTAGAATGAAAAGAAATATATAGTTAAATATTATATGAATGTGTGTATGAATATACAAATTTTAAGCTTTTATTAAAATATACTAGCAATTATATATCAAAGTATATTTATTTGAAGATATTATCTGACAGCCATAAGCTTCAGTATACTTCTCTGGGGATACATCAATATTTGAAGATAATTTGGCTTGTATTTCAGGCTTTATTAACAAATCAATTGTAAATCTCTATTGTGTAAATTCAGCTACAAGAAATTCAAAACTGAAAAGTCAACATTTTTATAAACATTTAATTAAAAATGGCTTTTCAAAACTCAGTATAATTAAATAAACTTATATTGAGCATTCATGATCTCAAATAGAAAAGCAAACAGGCCTGTTTTGTCCTACTGATCAAAGTCCTTTCGTGGATACCTAGGTTGGCAGAAGAATTCAGCATTTTATCTGTGACTTGTCATGTTTGTCACTTTTGCCTCTTATAAAAATCAGGTTTTGAAAAATGGACTTTGGATATTGTATCATTTTTTCATTGTGCATGTTGTAGATGTTAGCTAATGCTAAGCTGTCCATTAATATTCATGTTTGCAGCTGAGAGCTAAGAAAATAAAGTTACAATTGTGACAGTTTCTGTCTTGTAGATACTGAGTTTGCACAGAAAGGTCAGTTTAACTTTTTTTTTAAAAAAAAATCTGTGGTTATAAGTGAAAGAAGAGACAGTTTTAAAAAGTCAGAGATAATGCAAATAGCATTGTCACATAGTGTTTATAATAAAGCAGTCTATAATGTGGTGCACTGTTGAAGATATCCATTTATCATGAAGAATCTTTTTTCCTGTTCTTTATTCTACTCTGTTCACTGTATAATTCTGCATGGCTCCTGTGTTTAGTTTTAAGGCCATCAACACATACTAGTTTGACTTTGTGCTACAACTTGGGCACAAGCATCTAATCTAAATCCTTGAGCAATATGACAAGAAGATTATTTGTGTTTCTTGAACAAACAGGAAAGATGTACACAGACATCTATATATTAGACAATAAAGAATACATTGGATGATAAATACTTTAGAGACCCAATGTGAGTTTGGAAATATTTTATGAATCAAATTTTTTCTCATATTTCTTTACAAAAATGGATTAAATGGTGAAAATAACCATGTTATAAACTATACAAAACTTTTGTCCTAGTAACTTTCAAAACATTGTAACTACATATACTATCATGTTGTTAGAAGAAAAAACAGATCGGTTTATATCCTGTAACCCAGTAAATTATTGACCATATAATTATTGGTTAATTTATTTTTCTGGAGAAGTCTTAGTTGACACTTTAAAAATGTTCCCAGCCCTGGCTTACATAACTGAGGAAACAGATTCAACATGACTCTGAAGGACACTGCTGAATATTAATGTTTCCATTTTTGGCCTCTAGGCAGAGTTAATAAACCCATGTAAGCTTTGGAATGTCAAAGGCATGACGGGTAATATGGACTCCTCACAGAATATATGTATGGTCATTTTGTACTAAACTGCTGCACTTGAATGCATTACCTGAAAATATAAAGAGAAGAAATAAAAGAAGTGATTTTTATGGTGCTCTAAAATGTTGAGGCTTGAAAACGAAATATGCTAGGATACAAGTACTATTGCATTTGAAAGTGTGGTTTTAACGATTCTAGGAAGTTCCCCGGAAGGCTGCCATAGGGTTTGGGTAAGTAAGAGCTACACTGTTAGGTCTGAAGCATTATTTTTCTCCGATAAGGACAGTAGATTTGCCAGAGTGAGAGTTCCAAAGCTGCATCTGGGTTTCTGTATTATCTAACAAAATGTTCTAAAGGTGGACTAATTGCCTACAAATTTTGACTTTTTCCTTTTGGGGAAATCCTGAGTTATTGTGTCAGGTAAAGTCTGGAGATAAACTCCTAGATAGAGTATCTATTCCAAAATAGCCTCCTATTTATTATGCTATGTATACCTTCCATTTATTCCTGTATAATCCTGTTTATCTTTTAAAAAAAATGTATACTGTGTTTTAAAAAGAGCAATGGCATCATTTTATGATGGCAGTAATTTAATTGGGGGAAAAATCAACTTTTAGGGGGAATGAAACATGCAAGTTGGAGAGCTAGAATTTGATCTTTGCTTTTATTCCAGGCTTTATTTGAGGAGAGAGTAATTATTTTCTGTCAAAAATAATGCCATTGTAATCCCCCTTCAGCAAAAAAAAAAAAAATCCAAGATTCTGCCAACTTTAGTGTAATCTTAGTAAAGAAAGGCTAAACTGAGCTGTGCTACCTTGTTCCCAGTATTTATTAATTTACTTAGAAAATAGAGGGATGAGAACATCTCTTTTCTATTGGAACTCAAACTTTATTTAGTATAGAAAAACAAAAAAAATAACTAATATCAAAAGCTATTGAGCATTGACAGTATTATGATTTTTTTAAAGATAGAAATAGAAAATAATTTGGACAACATTAGATAGCACACTTTAAAAATCTGTGGAAAGCAGATACTTAAAACTGAGTGCTGAATAATAAGGTGGGGTTATTTATAGATCTGTTGCAAATAGAATTCGGGTAGAGTGGAACAATTTGACATATCTGGAAGAGAGAGAAGGCAAGGATATGTGAAATGGTATGAGAAGGTAAGGATACAGAATTAGATTGTAAAACCAGGTTAGTGTAAGAATGAAAAAAGGGTTCAAGTAGGAAATTTCGGTTTTATTTTATAGTATAACAGAAATCCATGTCTTATGGATGGATGTGTGTCATTGGATTTGTAGTTTGGAGGAGGAGTAAGCAGAAGTGCTGAAAAACAGCGTAGTTGAGTGTAAGTGTATTCAGGAGAGGATTGGAAGTGCAGTTTCAGGAAAGATGAGGTCAAGGGTGAAGAACTGCTGAATTAGATTAGAAATCAAAATATAGAAGATGCATGACATTTATGCAAATGGCCACTTGATTTGGGAACTGGAAATATTGATGATGACCTTTACAAGAGATTTCAATAGCATGGTGAGAAAAATTGAGCAGTAGGGGAAAGTTAGTAGAGATAGTAACAATAAAACACAGGAAATATTATTAAATGAAGAACATTTAATTGGATGATGAAAGATTGACTCAAAGTTGTTTTATTTGTATGACAATGGAAAAGATCAATAAGAAAGGAGAGATTGAGAATAATAGAGGAACAGGCAATTACAGGTAAAAAAAAATTTTGAAAAGATAAAAATATGTAGAGTAAGGAGCAGAGCATTCTAAAGTTTACAAAATATCTCAGCATATGGCTTATCTGTATATGGTCCAGTTCAATTAACAATACAAACCTGTATTACTGAATTTCAAGCAAGAAAATTACTTGGGATGATTGTTTTATAGTAAAATATATTTTCTACGAATCTAAAGAATGAAGTTACACATATTTGCAAGATCAGATCAGATGACTAATTTTCTTTTAAAAATTATCTTTCAGATGCTTCAAGAAGATCTTGAACAGGAACAAGTCAGAGTTAATTCTCTCACTCATATGGTGGTGGTAGTTGATGAATCTAGTGGAGAACATGTGACTGCTGCTTTGGAAGAACAACTTAAGGTCAGATTAGTTGAATAAATATATTTCTCAAAATAATTAAAGTTGCAAAAACAATTAGAAAATGCAGAATTTAAACTGGAATGTAATATAACAACAAGCTAATTACAATTACTTTGTGTTTATGAATATTCTGTTTTCATCAAGTTTATTCATTCACTAGTTCTAATGGCCTTCCCTTTGGATGAATACATGAATGTAGTTGTTTTCTTTTAAAACTGCATTTGAATCCCATGTATTTAGAGAACTAATCTGATGTGGTTCAATAATGAGAAGTTGAATTTCTTTGATGCATTTCTTGCTATAAACTTCAAATTTTAATGTTGATGAGGACATGATGGAATGTATAAGCTCTAAAAGTGTGGTTAGAGTGAGTATTGAATCTCTACAGTCTGCTTCTAGCCTGGGTTACTGCTTTTGTTTTTAGAAACAGGAATAATAGATATGTAAAAAGATAAAATGGATATTACATTATCTTTTTCTTCAAAATTGAGAGGAAAAAAGTGTTATTCTGGAACAAAATCAGTGTTAAGGAAAACAATGTGTTATAATAATTTAGTCACTAGTCGGCTGCCTTTTATTTGTAACAGTTGAATACAGAAATGTGTAAGCACACAATTGATGTGAGTGTAAATGGCTCTATCAGTTCAGTTATTCTAAACATAGTTTTTCCTACCTAACTTATAACAACAGCCTTACCTATGTTTTTTTTTCTTTTTGTGTGACATGTATTTCTTCATTGTTGTGAAAAGTCATTTCCTCAGGTTACTGATCTACACTGCCAATATCCAACAATGCTATTATTCTTTCCATCATTAAATGACTGAAGGGCAACTCTTGAACCGACAGGTTGGACATGGCTATGATGAAGCATTTGTTGTATACCAGAGACTCAAGTTAATTTCTTTCATTTTAGTGCAATTGCAGCAGTCTATAAAAGGTTGTCACTTTAGATATGATAATAGATTGTTGAACACATGTTACTATAAATGAAACACACACCCATGCTCATGGCCAGCTGAAGTACCAGATTTTAAGTAATTCGGCAGTTTGGATATAGAGAAACAGACAAAAGAAAAAAAAACAGATGGGTAAAATATGATAGTGTTTTCAAGAAAGTTTCTGAAAAGATAATGTCGTGAAGCAGATGTTGGAGAAGATAACTTTAAAAAAATATGAAAACTTAGTGAGGCAGAGATTTTTCTATGCTAGATAATATTTCCCATCACCAGTTAAAACAAAACCCACTTTAGGGACAGCATAGTAGTGCAGCCATTTGAAATGTTAGCATCTCATGTCAGGTTATTCAAGTAAGAGCTGCTCTGCTTTGTGCTAGTGAGCCTGGGAAAAGAGCTAATGATGGCCCATTTAAGTGGGAGACCTGGATGGACTTCCCAACTCCTGCCTTTATCCCGGCCCTTCCCTGACTTTGTGAGCAAATGGGGAGTGAACTAATGGCCAAATGACAAATGTCTTGCCATATCTACCTCTCCAGTGCTCTGCCTTCCAAATAGCTAAATCTTTAAAAGCAACAATAAAACTGTTGTAACATTAACTTGCACAGACGAGCTGGCTTTTATAATATAATTATACTAGTGCAATGTTCGTGGGACCAAGCCATCTTTTAAAAAGTCCATATACCCCATAAGTGATGACTAGCTTAGATACTAGGAATGATGGGCTTAATTCTGTATTTACTAGCCTGCTTTTACTTTAACCATATGTTCTGCCTTTGTTCTAAAGGTACTTGCTGTGCATGTATTGGCTATCCCTCATTCTCTCAAATTCCAAATTTGTCATTATTGCCTCCCACTTAATACCTCCAACTTCTGTTTTATTCTTCAACCTCTTCCCATTTTTGATATTCCTTTGTTGTATTTATGTAGATTCTGACACATTTTGATAACCTACATGATTATTTAAGATGTCGCAGTTAGAAAAATGAAAAGAAAGGCCCATCTACAACTTTCCGTTCTTGATATTCAACCAGTTTGTTCATTTCCAAAGGAATCCACGCTTGAAATCAATGCCTTTTTTAAACTGATGGTTGACATTATTCCAGAATTCTCTGGCATTGTTTGACTTTGAAATATGGGTGCATCTTTTGTGGTTCTTTTACCCAGTGTCATTTATTAAAGGAAGAAGGAATGAATATGGTATGAAAGGAAGAAGAGAAAAAAGGGTTAATTTCATTGGTGTAATCCCTTTAAAAAGTGAAGCATGTACCCTAGATATACAGTAAGGATTCTGTGATTTGTTCAGTGTATGGTCCAGAGGGCAGAAGGATTTGGAAGCATCATGTGAAAGAGAAATGAATATATGACCATATGCAAGAATAAAAATTGTCAGGAATTTCTTGAGGGCTTTTGGAGCAAGGTTTGATTTTCCACAGTGTTGGATGCTCCTTGTACATCTTTTCTTTCTCTTCTGTGGCCTCCTTGTATCACCATAATACCTTAATGCACTTTGCTCCAGTTTTGTTCCAATGCTCTCCAAAGTCTGAAAAAGGCACCTAGTTGTCATTAAGAGATAAAAATGCTGGGGGGTGGAGGAGGTTGATTAAGAAGTAAATCCCCCATTCAATACAATGGGAAATGAGTTCACTCTTATTTCTTTTAAGACCTTTAATAATTCTTTTGTGCAATCTGTGCATGTGTTGATTTAGCTCTCTGAACCTTGTTATTATGGTACAATGTTAGAATTTTTGTTACTTTAAAGGACTTTTAGAAGTCTTTTCAAAGTTTTGAAAAAAGAAACAAAGATAGGTCAGAACATATGCTTAGGGATTCTGAAAAATGACATGGCTTATGAAAGGTAATATTCTGAAAAGTACAGTCTATTGTAAATTAATTTGATTCTCTCTCTGAGGCTTAGCTTGTCCCTTAGCAATGTCACCAGAGATCACATTACTGTCTGCATCTTAACAGATTTCATGGATATTCAGTACCTTGAAAACAGATATCTCTACAATGATGTAAATTAGCAAATTGTGTTGAAATTTTTTTTCAGCCAAATAACTAAAGCTGGTAATTTAGAGTCCCGTAACCTGGAGGTCATTGTCATGTCTGTCTAAGCATCGCACATTCATTTTTTCTCTAAGTGTTTTTACTTTTTTCTACGCCCCAATGTTCATACTAGATAACAGCTAAGACGGAAAAAAAGAGTTTGTTACAACTTTGCTTGGATGGAATTTGTAAATTGCAACCTAAAAGCCAAATACAGTGCAACGATGAAGTTTAGGAGTGTTGTTTGATATGCACGTAGAGGCTTGCCTATACTCTTGGACATACACTAATCAAATACAATTAAATGTAAATTAATGACCCGGAATGAGATTAGTTCTGCAAAAATATATGCATTGCCTTTTTGTGCTTGGTTTATTTCAGTTATCATAATACCCTCCAAGATTGTCCTTGTCACTAATGGCAGGATTTTGTCCTTTATGGCTGAATAACATTTCAGTGTATGCATATTGGCCTTGCTCCTATTGAATCTGAACTCACTGATCATGTAGAAATTCAGAGTAAAACAGCCATTGGCGTTGGTTGGAGAAACCAAGAGGAGGAGGGGATTGAATAGATTGTCCAGTGAGATACAATGTCAAAATAGAAAGAAGGAGTAAGTTGTGAAATTCTGTTGTAGAGCCTTGTAATTACAGCCAACACTGCATTATGTATTTCAAAATAGCTATATAGGATTTTGAAAGTTCTCTCATTAAAATGATAAATGTTTATAGTAAAAGGAGTTGCTGATATATGCATAAATGTAAAGATCATACTTGATTAGATAAATACGCACAATTGTTGTGTGTCCATCAAAACAAAGCAAAAATCTGACATTATATTCCAGACATCAGAAGAGGCCTTCATAGATATACACTTTTAGAAACAAAGGACCTAGCACAAGTTAATTAGAAAACATGAGAAAGAAGAAAAATATTCTGAGTAGAGCAGTGTTTGTTCATTCATTCAACAAATATGTGTAGGGTGTCTACCTGGTGCAACCCCAAATTCTGAGCCTCAAGCTTCATTGTACCTCAGTGGAGATGCATTGTAAACAAGCATAATATAAATGAGCAAATATTATACAGTGGATATTACCCAAACTGTTATAAGACAAGATTGCAATTTGTCTTGCAGAGCTTAATTGTATTTATTTGTGATTCTGCAGTTGGGCAGCAGTTTGGCTAAATATTTTAAAACATTGATCCTCCCGCAATGAGGGCAGGTTTTAGTTTAATATCACAGGAAAGAAAGTGACGGTCAAAAAGCAGAAATGCAGCACAGTGATGGTCTCATTGGTTACAGTCGGCACCCATCTTCATTAGTCTTCCTTAAACAGTCGGACACTTGTGACTGGGTGAGCCTTAGCAACGTGATCCAAGAGCAAAACAGATTATGGTTACTTCTATAGAGAAACCATTAAGGCAAATTTGAAAACCACAACGAGGCAGCTTTATACCAAAGTTACTTCAAGTTGCCTGAGGTGTAAAGCCAGAAAAGACTGGTGGGAAGGAAATGGAGTAGGTGTGTCAGGAGAGGCTTCATGGAGAAAGTGACATTTTTTGGACAAATAGAAAAGGAGTTAATTTGTAGGTTTACAGATCATGTTCATCCTTTTGCTTTTGAAAAACGGAAGCACATTAAAGAAGCCTACTGTTGAAGAGACATGGTTATACCCCTAACGTAGAGAAGATGCTCCCACGAAAAACCTCTTTCAGAGAACAAAGGGAAGCATTAAAAGCCCCTTTTAGATATGTTCCTCCACATGACTTAAAACTCGAGACTTCAACTAGAAGTATTAATAGTCTCTGAGGCCATAGACCCAAGAGTGTTCCTGGCATATAAAGGCAGTTGAATTATTTTGTTAGTTGACTTTCACCTTGAAGTTACTGTTACCATTTTAGAGGATAAAAGATAACACAAAGTAATGTACAGAAACAAGCCTCTTATTTTGAAGAATGAAAAACTGTAGAAAACTATTTTGGAGGATTTTTAAACATA